CCTGTAGTCACTTTCTTTTTCAAGTTGGACCAACTGATACTGCTTCTCATCTTGTGAAACAGCTCCTTTCTGCTCATTTTCTGCTCCCCCTCGTTTTTCGACTTACTCTGCAATCAAAGTTCAATCTCATTTAAGCAGTCATCGAATTTATTTCTCCTTTCTCTTATGTCCCTGTGCCTTAGCCACCAAGGCCATGCATTTTCTAACAGACAAACAACGTTGTAGAAAATCCAATTTCACTGCTAAGTGTGCTGCATTGAGGATGTGACATTTAATTTCTGTTGGGGCTGGTTTTCCAAGGGGCCGGGTCCTCCAGAGGCCACGAACAACGCCGTTGCCTCAACCCCTTTGACTGAAAAACGGAGAAAATGGTAGAAATCAATGCTTCACCTTCAGTTCATTTGGTGATCTTTAGATGAGTTGAAAAATACCACATACACACACGGTTAGAAGTGCAAACTTTCATTGATTTGTCTCTTGTAGTCTTACCCTTCAGCATGTTAATTTAATCATTTGCAGCTACTGATGGTTGTGACAGAGCTGCCAGCCACAATACAGCTCAATGGGAGGAATATTGGCTGTAATGATGCTGTTTTAATTCTAAATATCTCAGTTTTTATGATTTCTTTCCATGTCACGTCTTTATTTTCTTATCTTCTGGTCTCAAGTGTGTAAATTTCATTTTTTCACTTGCAATCACGGTAATGATGAAATATGAATGCAACAACTGCCAGCAACTTAATAAGGCATTAGTGAGGCAATCAGAAGCGATCGTCTCAGTAATAAGCGAGGCCAGATTAAAATACTTTCTTCACGCCATTCAAGGAGTTGTCCAAGTTTTGTCCTCTGCACATCTCTGTCGAAACATTTCTAATGAAGCAACGATCAATGTGACAGAAAAAGTCGTCTTTATGCCTGCTGTAGCTTATCAGCTCTACATAACGGTATTAATAAACTAATTTGTTTGAAAATTAGATTTTTAAAAGGCTGGAAACTTGTCCAACAGAGATGAAAAGAAAAAGTTTGCTGTTGTATGTTCAGCCTCCCTGTTGCCTGTTAAAGTCAGCTCCAAGTCAACTCAACCCCTCACCAATTTCAGAAGACACACCAAAGACGGGAAATCTAATTATTGGTTTCATCTTTCTTTAGAAGTCATAATTTTCTTTTTTTCACAGCAGTAGTGGCTTATTTTTTATGGACAGTAGGGTATGAGAGAGTGGAAGAGACATGCTGGAAAGGACCTCAGGCCGGATTCAAACCCAGGTTGCCCGCGTCAGGGACTAAGGCCTCCATATATGGACTAAGGCCTCCATATATGGGTTGTGTTTGCTAACCACTGCGCCACCAAAGCAAGCCCCTGGACGTCACAATTTTCAACTCGGAAGTCATAAATTACATCTTGAACGCCTCCGAAAGTCGGAATTATGAGTTTAAAAGTCGTTGCAAAAGGATGGTGTCCAAATGCTGCATACAAGATGGATCCTAGGCTCGTCAACAGTAGTTAGACTTTCCTACTTTGACCCATTGCAGCAGTTGTCTATTATGTATGCAGCCTGAAAGAGTCATGATCTGACAATAATGGAGCTAGAGCTAACCATCTGTTTAACGTTCATTTATCAAAGTGTTTTCCTTGTAGCTCAAAATATTGTGGTAACTATCATTTTTAGTATTTGATCGGATAAGGTATCAGTAATAATGAGAATATGACTGATGAGATCACAGAATAACCCTAGTATCTCATCTAAAAATAATAAACTTTATATTGGTGTGTGAAACAAAAATCTTTTAAGTTTAGTTTGTAAATTTTTATGTCATATATGGAAATGTTTTGGGAAGGTTTAGGGGAATTTCAGAGTTGCTAATGGGGATGTGATTATATCATAACTCTGTCTTAGAATAGTGTAAGAGTGATTGAGGAGGAGAGAGTAATCAGCCAGACTCAGCTGGATTAATCAGCTTGTCCAGTAATAAAGGACAGGAAACAAAGGAGCTGCTGAATTTCAGGAAGTAGTGGAGCTGTGCATGGAGCCCATTGGTGGGAGATATGAATCTGCTTCTTTGTGATGCACAGGCCCCTGATATGGCCAGTTTGTCAGTAATAAACATATTTGTTTCCTACCTGCAGGCTTGACCGCTTCTTTCTTTTTATTCATGTTAGTGCAGAAAAAAACTAATTCTCAATGGTATGTAGTTGTGAACAGAAAGAGTGTTTGTTTGACTTTTTTGAAGACGTCGGGGAACTGTGAGTCCGCAGAAAGCCACATGCATAGACTAAATGTTACTATTTAATTTTCTGTTTTTTCTTTCTTCTGATGTCGCACTTCCATTAGGAGGCAGCAGAGCTCTTTAGGCTACACAAAATGGGAGAGAACCCCCAAACCCAGAGACTCAAACCTAGTTTGCTATTAACACTATGGATTTATTCGTTTTATTAATCTTACGAAACTAGGTGTGGATAGTCACATTCCTGGTTCTATTCCTTTATTATTATTATTTTTTTTAAAGGTAATGAATATGTAAAAATAAATTAAACCATTACTGTCCAAGTTTCCTAATCTTATCTTGATGCATTCTCTTTTATCTACGAGCTTGGATATGTCCCCAGATTTTAATTCAGAAATCTGGTCACCTTAAGTTAGAACCTGGAGCCATTTGTAGAATAGCTCTCCAACTGGGTTAACACCTGCTAGAAGCAGCCGCACAAACGGCAGCTTCTGCCAATTCTCCCATCTTCCTGTGATTGTTCCAGCTCCTCTTCATTGGCTCTTGTGATTCCTACATTTCTACTGCAAGGATTCAGAACGGAAGACCCAGTATTTAGGCAAGACAGACAGTGGGATAAAGGGCATTTATTAAAATCAAATGGAACTGTGGTAACAGCTACTAGGACGTCTGAAGCAGGAAAATCTGGAGAGAAAAAACATAGGTTAGTGACCACATAAATCTCACGGAGGAAGATTATGGCCGTGAGTCACTACCCTGGTTTAAAAGTTCAGTCCATCGCCAGGGAATGAGGTCGGAACCAGCCTGTGGACTGCCAACAAGATGTGGCAGGCATCGCCCAGAGTGTCCAAGATGCTGCAGCCCCAGAGAACTTGCAGGACTCCAAAGCCAGGTCAGGCAACCAGATCAGAACAGAAACAGGCAGGCTCAGAGGGCCAGGATCCAAAGACAGTTCAGGCAAACCGTTCAGAGAGGAACAGGCAGGCTCAGTGGTTGAGATGCTGAACAGGTCAGGATCAGTAAATCAGAAACACCAAGGAACTCTAAAAACACTCTCACAACTGGCTTGAGAGAACAAGAATAATCTGGCCTGATGACTGGATGCAAGCACCTTAAATAAAGGCGGGAGGAGGTGAATCAGTTGAGCAGTGATAAGAAACAGGGCACAGTTAAGCCTGGCATACATTGTATGATTTTTTTGGGGCTTTTCACGCTGATTTTCCAGTCGTGCTAGAATTTATTGATCTGGCCAAGTTTCAGCTTCGTCGTGCATTGTGTAGTATACAGGGGTAATGAGGGGCGATCAGCCTCTCAAGACCACCTCCTAATCAGGAATTGTAAGTTCGAGAGAAAATCAAACCTGTTTGAATTCCGTCTGCCATCGTAAGATTGCATCAGAGCATCAGGCCGCACTGTATGACAACATGCATCGTGAGCTGTGAACTTTTAAACCCTGCAATTTTATTGTACAGTTTGAACTGTAGCTGTGTGCAAAGATTGAAAATTAATCACAGTGTATGCCCGACTTTAGACAGGTGAATGGAGTTAGTAATTAAGCCAGTCACTTGCTTGTGCTGTGAGAAGGTTGCAAGTACCCGGTTCAATCCCTAGAGCATCAACTCTGGGTTCCTGAGCAAAACCCTTAACCCCACACTGCTCCCCGCATGCCACACAATGGCAGCCCACTGCTTCCCAAGGGGATGGGTCCAATGGAGAGAGTGAATTTTCCCATTGTGGGACAATAAAGGGATTTACACATTACATTATGAGATCATGAATTCTACAGGTTTATTGTTACAGTTTTGGCTGGATGGAGCTAAGAGTACAGGAACTAGCATATCTCATTTACTCACAAAGCATTGTAGTGTAAAAAACATGGCAACATCCGTGTAACAATGTTGAATTAAAACTTATAAAAAATAATCTCCTTACCTCATTCTTACTGTATTTTTTTTTTAACACTGAAAATCATCATTTCTTTTTCTAGGATTAGGGATAGGAATTTATTTCACACAGTTTTGATAAACAGCCAAAAACAACAATAAATGAATCAATAAAATACACACAAAAGAGTAAAGGAGTTACATAAAAAAACAAAACAAAAATAAAGTATATTGTTACAACTAAATGTGGATCCATTTAAGTCAGTCACTCAGGTACTATTTGTATGTTTTTATAGGACAATATGTTTTAATGCTGTTTATATGCACAGAATTCCACATAGAACAGAGATTTTTTTTATTGTTTTGTTTGTCTCAATAGCTGTAGTGGCCATGGTGAAGAGTGAATGGAATGCATTTACCTCCAAGATTACGTCACTTGGTATACTTGAATTTCTATGATAATCGAACTCATCATAACTGTGCTTCATACTTCAAAAAAGTTAGGTATTAAATTACTAAAAATATATGAGTATGAAATGGCAACAAATACTGAAGTCCATTGTTTTACCAGCTGGAATAAACAGCTTCATGTTAGCTGTTAATGTCCCTTAAAACAGAAAATGACCGATCTTAGGTTTCCTTCCCACAGTCACAGCTTCAATACTAAAGAGTCTTGTAGTAAACACAAATCCACAATGACAGCCATAAGGCAGTTCCTCAATAAATCTCTACTTTTGAGGCCATTTGCAATTTAAAGCAGTGCTTTTTGATACTTTTGCAAGAGCGTGAAGACATCGAACCTAGCCTTCTGCTACGAGTACAAGATAATCTAAAATGAGTGTTTTGACCTGTGTCCGACACACCTCTGTGCATGATATCCTCTACCTTTTTCAGGTGTTTTCTCAGTCCTTCACAGCCTCCTATGCTATCTACAGTGTGGCTAATGGGTAGGTGAAACTGTGAATGCCTAAATGCATGGGATGCACGGGGCATGAGCATCAACAAAGCAAGCAGAGCTGCAGTTTAATGATTTTTAAAAAGCCCCCTAATAAGAAAATGTTTCATATTGAGTTATGTATATGTCTATTAGTGTGCTTTCCAGATTCCATCATAAACATATCGTAAGGTTTGTGCAGTACCATTGATGTCACTGCCTGAGGTTTATTTTAAGCATTATAACTTAAATAACTTTTATGATGTGGCTTTGAGTGATGCTTTGGAATTTCAGAGAGAAAACAAAGGCCTTTAAAGGAAGAGTCAATGCCTGAGTTTGCCTTGGAAGATGTATGTCCGCCTGAAAAGAATGCAAATATGAAAAAAAAGAGAAAAAAAGGAAATGTCCCCAGTCCTGCATGAGCTAACCCTGCCCTGGGTTTCATTCTCCCTCTCTGCATCTTGCTCTTTTGTTCTGTCAGCACTGCTGCTTTCTGAAAGGCAGGACATAGACAGAGTTTAGGGGGCTTCAACCAGGACAGCTGTCCCTAATGACTGTGGCTTATGTTGGATTTTCTTTTTGTGTGTTCTAGGGATCTACTGGAGGTCAGACCTCCCGGGAGTGAGACAACAGAGTTGCAGTTTGCTTCCTGGGGACCTCAGGGGAACCAGCTGGTAAGCAAAACCTTTACTTATTCATCAGATAAATATGCTGCTATCTCTATTAACTAAAACCTGCCATGTGATTAGGAGCTTGTCTCACCTAAATATCCTATTGTCCTCTGTTTGACATAATTTTCATCATGATAACATCAGTGACAATTAGGAAGATGAACTCCATCTGCACTCATTCATGTACCTCTGCTGTAAATTACTTTTTGGTGCTATGTCAGTGTTCATCCGCACTACATTAACTGCCAAGTAAAGATGTATTGGCTCAGAGCACTGTGTGTGCTGGCCAATCATTCATACTTGGAAAGCATTCCCCGCTCAAATCAGGCAGCCAGTTGTGAAGTCTGCAACCTTGCTGTCTTTGACGATAAATTGGCAATGTCTGTTTGTGCCCAATGTGCCAGGCCTTTTTGTTTGACGGAGATATCTACTACAAGCCCAGCGTGCCAAGCAACCCGCTGCGTCTCACGTCCACCGAGGAAGACCAAAATGTTGTAAACGGACTCTCTGACTGGACATATGAAGGTAGGTTTTAGATGATTTATATAGTCAGAATGATCAAAGAGTTACAGCGAAAGGGAGACTCATGCTTAACTGTTATGCACTCAAATACAGAGGAGGTGCTTCTGACATATGCAGCCCACTGGTGGTCTATGGACGGTGCCCGGCTTGCATATCTCCGCATCAACAACTCTGCAACACCTGTGATGGAAATACCTCATTTCCTTGGAGGCCTCTACCCCTCCAATATGATTTTTCACTACCCAAAGGTAAACACTGCGCTGATATGAGTCACAGCAGCAGCCCTGTGGCTGTAACAGTGCTTTTAGTACAATGCTGATGTCAGCATGAGGATAATACTGCTCTCTTTACCGGGCAGAGAACTTATTTTAAATGCATTTGGTAATGCATGAGCATCTTGAACTTTGTTAAAATTTCTCCCTTTAAAGAAAAAAAAAAAGTAAATTCTTAATCTGGAAGATTTTGCAACCTCTTATACCCTTAGATAAATTATAACGACTGCCTTAAGCAGTTATTATATTATTAAACCAAGTCTACTTGTGTGTAATTTTGTCTCAGCATAACTCCATCTGTTTTGTAAAGGTCCCAAATAGCTGTTATAGAACCATAGTGAACAGAAACAATCATCCCAGCAGACAGGTTTAGATATGTTAGTTTAGAATACGTTAGATTATAAAAGGCTATTGTAAGACTATATGACACACCTAAACTAATGGGAGGGAGTTGTTTACTAACAGATCCAGCCTTTAGTGGCCTTTAACTGTTAAGGGAAGGTTGCCAAAGGAAGTGCTTTGGTCTGAAGTCTCCAAGGTTTGACCTTATGAGTGTCAAGATCTACAGGTGCTGGTCATAAAATTAGAATATCATGAAAAAGTAGATTGATTTCAGTAATTCCATTTAAAAAGTGAAACTTGTATATTATATTCATACATTACATACAAACTCATATATTTCAGATGTTTATTTTGTTTAATTTTGATGATTACAAATGACAACAAATGAAAATCTCAAATTCATCATATCAGAAAATTAGAATATTGTGAAAAGGTTCAAAATTGATGGCCCCTGGTGCCACACTCTAATCAGCTAATTAACTCAAACCACCTGCAAAAGCCTTTAAATGGTCTTTCAGTCTAGTTCTATAGGCTACACAATCATGGGGAAGACTGCTGACTTGACAGTTGTCCAAAAGACGACCATCGACACCTTGCACAAGGAGGGCAAGACACAAAAGGTCATCGCTAAAGAGGCTGGCTGTTCACAGAGCTCAGTGTCCAAGCACATTAATAGAGAGGCGAAGGGAAGGAAAAGATGTGGTCGAAAAAAGTGTACAAGCAAGAGAGATAACCGCACCCTGGAGAGGATTGTGAAACAAAACCCATTCAAAAATGTGGGGGAGATTCACAAAGAGTGGACTGCAGCTGGAGTGAGTGCTTCAAGAACCACCACACACAGACGTATGAAAGACATGGGTTTCTGCTGTTGCATTCCTTGTGTCAAGCCACTCTTGAACCACAGACAGCGTCAGAAGCGTCTAAAGAGAAACAGGACTGGACTGCTGGTGAGTGGTCCAAAGTCATGTTCTCTGATGAAAGTAAATTTTGCATTTCCTTTGGAAATCAAGGTCCCAGAGTCTGGAGGAAAAGAAGAGAGGCACTTCATCCACGTTGCTTGAAGTCCAGTGTAAAGTTTCCACAGTCAGTGATGGTTTGGGGTGCCATGTCATCTGCTGGTGTTGGTCCATTGTGTTTTCTGAGGTCCAGGGTCAACGCAGCCACATACCAGGAAGTTTTAGAGCACTTCATGCTTCCTGCAGCTGACCAACTTTTTGGAGATGCAGATTTCATTTTCCAACAGGACTTGGCACCTGCACACAGTGCCAAAGCTACCAGTACCTGGTTGAAGGACCATGGTATCCCTGTTCTTAATTGGCCAGCAAACTCTCCTGACCTTAACCCCATAGAAAATCTATGGGGTATTGTGAAGAAGAAGATGCAATACACCAGACCCAACAATTCAGAAGAGCTAAAAGCCACTATTAGAGCAACCTGGGCTATCATAACACCTGAGCAGTGCCACAGACTGATCGACTCCATGCCACGCCGCATTGCTGCAGTAATACAGGCCAAAGGAGGCCCAACTAAATACTGAGTGCTGTACATGCTCATACTTTTCATGTTCATACTTTTCAGTTGGCCAACATTTCTATAAATCCTTTGTTTTTATTGGTCTTCAGTAATATTCTAATTTTCTGATATGATGAATTTGAGATTTTCATGTGTTGTCATTTGTAATCATCAAAATTAAACAAAATAAACATCTGAAATATATGAGTTTGTATGTAATGTATGAATATAATATACAAGTTTCACTTTTTAAATGGAATTACTGAAATCAATCTACTTTTTCATGATATTCTAATTTTATGACCAGCACCTGTATAATTTTGGACTTTTTGGTTCTGTTAAAGTTTTCCTTTTGGGTTCTAAGTTATGTTTTATTTCATGTTATTCTGTGTTTATCAAGATTTAGATAATTGTTGAATTCTTAGTTTTACTCTCCATTGTTATTTCTTTCAGTTATCTCTTTTCAGCATTTTTCATATTTATTTTACTTTATTCCTTGGTCTAGTTTTAGTCTTAGTCATTACTTTTATTTCCTTTTAGCTTAATTGAAGCTCTTTTCTTGTTACAGTTAGAACTTGTTTTTTTTCCCCCAGGTTATTATTTGTTCCCCCTTAGTGACCCTTTCCTTTCCCCTTTAGCTGGGCAGACGCTGTATGATTTTTTTTGCCCTTTTCGGGCCGTTTCTCCAGTCGTGCGAGAATCTTTTAGATTAGCCCGACTTTTAGTCCTGCTTTGTGTTGTACACACAGGGTAACAAGGGGTGATCCGCCTCTCACCACCACCTACTGATCAGGAATCGTACGGTCGGGAGAAAATCAAAAACGTTTGAAATCCAGTCTGCAGTCGAGAGGTATTCGAGGACAATTCGTGCTGTTGACGCATAGCTACGAGCCGGAACTTGCTCTAACTCATAATCCTCTCAAAGCAGTGGTCAGGGTTATGCACCTTGTTCTAACAGTCGTCTTCCTTCCCCTCGCTTTACATGAAAATGCTTGTCTAATTTACAGCCTTAGAGGTTACGCCTGAAAACATATGAATCTGTATGTAAAAATTCTTGCATCTGTATTTTGAGAGATATAAATGTTTTTATAAATATTCTTAAGTTCTGGGTGTTCATCATATGTATGGTGTACATTTTAGCACATTCTCAAGTCCAAGGAGATAAGTTATCAGGTCTCTGGTCTAAGAAAAGAACTTATCAGGTCATAAGAAAAACAACTATCAGTGCAAACTCTCAGTCATCTGGGTCATGGCAGCCACGAAACGGGCTTAAATCAGATGCATTTTGACTTTCGCTCAGAATTCTGGATGCCCCACTTTAAGCTTGGTGTGTGTTTTTTCTTCCCCAGGTCTTAGGTCGCAGGAATTGACTGCTTTTTTTTTTTAATTCAGTGAAATGTTGACCAACCAAGTAGATATTAGAGTGTAACAAATCCTGCTTTTGATATTAGAGTGAAACAAATTCTTGCAAAAACATTTTTTCAAATTAAATTTAGGTCATAGAAAGTGGAACATATACATTTTTTATCTCAGTTTTTGCCACCGTCATCCTCAATTTTCCACAAGCTAGTTTTGTTAAACTCAAATATCTTCCTGGTTAGATTTTACTGAAATGAAAAAAGATCAAAGCTTTAGCTTCTATCTACCTGCAAGTTTCATTTCAGCCGAACAACACCAATCGATGTCTGTGGGTCCACCTGATTTTCCAGAGATAGAACCGTGTTTTCGTATAACCACCACAAACTCCAAGAGCTGCATCTGGATGAGGGTGGATTCAGCGGTATTTCCTTTTATTTAGCCGAGAAAAAAGCACCAATGCTGGGTCTGCGCAATTCAGGATGGACGATGAATGATTCAACACTCCCTTAAAATGTGTGGAATTCACTGCTGGCTGCTTCATCATTCTAAAACGTGACACTTTTCATGGGAATACTATGTAAATCCACCTCCTGCCGGGGATGCCGTGATCAGTGTGAACGCATCATAAGACCTCAGAAATGAAAGGTTTTGTTTTCCTTGAAACCTGTTAAACTTTTTTCCTAAGACTTTATCCCTATTTTCCTAAGAGCTGAGGATGTCTGAAAATATACACTGTACTTGTTACACATATGCTTCCTTTACTTAAATCACTTGCCTCTGCAGCTGTTTGAGCTGTAAGAACTTTTGACTTTATTTTTACATTTATTTATTATTTTTTCCTTAGAATTACAGTAACTGTAGTTTCTTGTCCAATAGCTCTAATGGATTTTGGATTTAGCTGTTTTTCATCAGATTCAGAGAAGTGTGCAGGGAGCCTACAAAGATTTGTCAGAACATGCTTTTTACAGTATTTAGCTATTTCTCTTTTCTACTTGTGCTCACAGGCTGGTTCCAGTATCCCATCAGTCAGTCTGTTTGTAGTGAACCTTTATGGTCCAGCTCACACTCTGGAGATGCTGCCTCCCGACTCGCTCAGGGCCAGGTACATCTCGGTGAAATTCAAATAAAGCTCTATGAATTCAGACAGCACCTGTCAGAGATGATTATGCTGTCCGCATATACCACTCCCAGTCACTGCTTCTCTTTATCATTTCTCTTACTCCGTGTATCATTTTCTGCACCACCTCTTCAGGGAAAACTACATCTCCATGGTGAGCTGGATAAGCAGTACCAGGCTCGTGGTTCGTTGGCTGAATCGTGCTCAGAACCAATCAGTGCTCTGCGTGTGTGAGGCCACCACCGGGGCATGTTCAGAGGTGAGCGCCCATCGCTTGCTCTCAATTAGTAGTCTGAAGGGTTGTCTGCTTCAATATAGCGCTTTAATAGAAATTCGCTTCATTTACACAGTTTGGGGAGCTGGGATTGATTTCCTGAAGCCCCTCTGATTTGTTCTGCCTGGATTAATATTTGAAGCAATTTGCTGCATGCAGAGAATTTACAATGACTCGCTGAAATTAACTGCTTTGGTATTAAGGAAAATGTATGCAGTTTCATATTTAAAAGTTAGCTTTAATGATGTGTAACAATGATATAGATTTTTATTAAACTTTGTTTTTAAAGGTTTTTTAAAGATAGCAATGTACTTTTTTGTCAACTTCAAAGGCACACTAAGAACAAAACCCCATCTGGGATACCCTTTAAAAAAAACTACTAAAGAAAGGTTAGCCAATCATGTTTGCATGCATTTGAGACAGTGGCATAACATGATTTATTAGAAATAGGTTGGGTGGCATGGATATATTTCCCTCAATAAATCTAAGAATTATGTCCAATAATTTGGTTCTTGTTTTAATTTCATTCTAATTTTGTCTGAATTTGTAAAAAACAGTGTCTACCTGTTATAATGTGTTCATACCAATTCGCAATGCAAATCCAAGAGGTAGATAAAACATTTTCTAAAATAATATTTATGAAATTATTTGCTTAATCAGAAAACAATGACTTTAGTTAACTGATTATCAACCTTCTTTGATTGAGCTGGTAGCTAGACATGAGGGGATTCATCTTAAAGGACTCTTTGATTGAATTTTGGCAATGAGAAAATGTGATGTGCATATGAGGAAACACAAACGTTCATTTTATATCATTATTTAAACCCTTAGTGATTTTGTTTTAGCTTTATAAACAACAGCTCATGTCAGTATTGGCTAAAGTCTGTAAACTGTGTTCCTCTCTGTTTCGAAAAAGGCAGATTTGTCTCCAGTATTCAACAGCTTAGAACGTCAGACCCGCAGCAGGGAAAGCGGTTTTCAGATGCTTTACTCCTCCAGTCTAAGGCATCTTGTTCTTGATCAATGTTTCCTGAAAACTCTGAGAGAAATATTGCAGCACGCTGTTTTTGCAGCAATTTTGATCAGAATTTTGCCACCTGGTCAGCTTAGCCCTCAGTCTGCAGATTCAGGTTCTTGGCATAGATCATGTGCAGATCATGTTCTAAAGACCAAGCCACAGAAATTTATAGGTGGAGGATATGTAGATAAAATACTTGGCATGTGGAAAGGGAATTTGTATGGGAACCAAGGAGTAGACAAAAAACTTTTCCAGATTTTATGATTGCTAAAAAGATTACGTTTGTAATGTATCTACATTTTTGTGGTGCTTTGGGATACTTCAAGTGTGTGCCGTAAATAATATCAATTACCGGTATTATTATCATCACTATATTTCGCATTATTTGTATAATTATTTCAACCAATAACATGATTTAGAACTTTATATTGATTTTCCAACATCTCTTAAACTTCTAGCAGCACATGCAGACCGTTTAGTTAACAGGCCAGGCTGAACCTGTTTACGCATCCTAACCTTTACAGCCACTATTTCCTGTAGATCAACAGCGAATTATCACACAAATTAGTGTTCCTTATTCGGAGTCCATGTGGATATAACCTAACAACTCATCTCACCACATCATGCCATGGGGAAGTGGCAGCATTATGCTTTGCCGAAGCTGGTCAGAATTTAGATAAATAATTGTGTTTGGCATAAAAGTTTAGCCTGTATTACTAGAAAAATTCTGAATGTGCACCTCGTACTAAAATACATTGGCTTAGATCATAGCATGTTAATTTCATTAAGTGGCCCAGTCAAAGTCTAAACCATATCCAGATGAGATTAATAGAAGGACGTGAAAAGTAATGCTCATGAAAAAATCATAATATTGCTTCCATACGTACTACAGAATTTTGTTTATTTTTTCCTCATATCCATGCAGTGTTCACCAATAAGGCTCAAATGCTTGGATGCTTTTAAGAAAGGGGTTTTATTAAAGCATGCAAATTATGAAAAATACAAATGAGCATACTCTAAAGCTGAATTGATTACATTATGTGATATAATCAGAGATGTTTAAGAAGAAGCCTGTTTTTAGGGAAGGCAGATTAATTAAATAATGATTAACATTAAAATAGCCAGTCATTGTAAACTGACAATTACAGGCTGAGAAATTAGATTTGTTTGTTTTTGTTTTGTTTTTAAATGGTAGAAATAATATACAAACTTCTTTGTTTCCTTTGAAATCAATAGAAACACAAAATGTCCATGGATATAATGCAGAACCAGCGACAGGTATGTCTTAGAAAGTCCTCCTCTAACATGATTCTTTGACTTTTTTGCACACATATTTATCCTGCTGTTTCCTCGTCACCTTTTATAAACAGGATGTGCCTTTGTTCACATCAGACGGCTCTATGTTTTATACGGTACTACCTGCAAAACAAGGCGCTCGTGGAGAGTTCCACCACATCGCTGGCCTGACCGTCCAGGTTAGTCATTTTTCTCTCCTTTATTTTAATACCTTTTCTGACCAAAGCACTGACTCTTTTGTTTGATTTAACTTTTGGACCGCAGATGCCAGCCGTTCAGGGTTGAAATGTTTTGCTCTTAAAATGTTTTTCGTAAATTTTTTTCCTGCAAGCTTTTCAAAAACTTTTTACTTTCCTTCCTTTAAATACAAGGAATGGTAAATTTACACTAAGTACTGCTCATGAACAGTGATTGAGGTATTTCTTCTATATTTTCAGGGCAAACAAAAACAAAAAAACTTATTTTTTTTGGTTTTGCTCTCAAAAGTATAGGATGAGTAAAGAAAAAATTGTATCCGAATATATTTGAGAAACACTTGTGAATCCCACTACATTTAACATTAACACTAAACTTACCTATGTAATCTGCAGTTGTGAACAATTTTACTAAAAGCTTTCAGTTCTCCAAGACTGATTTTGATCATACAATATGTGTAAGAAAGTTTTATAAAAAAAAAAAAGACTACAAGAGATAAATTGTGTTTAACCCTAAAGTTTACATAATCAAGCTTATTTGTGAAATATAGTGAAAAATAAAAAAATAGTCTTGCCATTTCTCTAATTCCTTTGCACTCTACAAAGATTCACTATCAGATTTAAGATGGGACTCTCTCAGCTGCTCCCAAATGTTATTGTTGCTTCTTATGTAAAAAAAAACAAAAAACAAAAAAAAAAACATGTTAAAATAAGAAAAAAATCTGGATCTAAATCTGCCTGTTATTTTATAAAAAAAAAAAAATTTGATATTAATGTGGACCCAGCTGTCAGCCTTTTACTGTGATTCCCTTCTTGTTGAAAGCATTTCTGTTTGGCGAAACGGGGAAAAGACGAGTCCTAAAAGGTAAATTGGTTTTGGGAACCCAATGATAACAAGCAGAACTTGCACATTTCTGAGCAGATGTATCAGTTTCTCTGCTTTTTGCATAGAAACAGCCTTTAAAGTGAAAAGTTCTCCATGAAGAATAAAAAAGTATTTAGATTAATTTTTAGAGGAAGGTTTTAAGGGTTTAGGGTGCTGGCGGATACTCTATTTTTAAAATTCAGCACAAATTTTTTCTGCCAAGAGTGCCAAAGATTAATCATGCAATCGTGTCAATAAAATTCTTCCAACTGTCTTTTCTTTCTGTGTGAGTTTTTCAGATTGAAATACCTAAAGATTGCTTGTTTTGTTGTTCTTGTTTTTTTTGGGGGTTTTTTCAGTCAGAAAGGGTATTTCTAATGGAGTTTCTCTACTAAGACCCACATCCAGGGTTTTCTCCACTGCCATCATAATAAAAATATCTAACAAGATGCTTTTATGTGAACTCTCTACAGGAGCCAGCAGTCTTTTGATTGAATTTCACATTTCCAACCTACCTCTTCTTCTGCCGCTTTCTGACAGAACCTATTTTTATTCTGTGTATGAGAACGTTTCTGCTTTGCTCACCGTCTCTCTGTGTGTCTGTGTCATGCAGCCCGCCATCCCCTCTGTCCCCCCTCGCTTCTTGACATCGGGGAGCTGGGATGTCACCTTGCTCTGCGCCTTAGACGAGGAGGCTGGAAGAATGTATGTGGGATCCACACCGTGTGGGAAATAATTTCTCCAAACACATAAATCACAGTCACTGAAGTCACTGAAGAGATTATAATCCAAATGCGAAAGAACGCTGATTTAGTTTAACTTTGTGTTTTGTGATTAATTTAATGCGGTTGTAGTTCAAAATGACAAAATAAGCCATCTGAACATGTAGTATTGATCTGAGCCTGCAGTCTAAAGTAACTCTCTTTGACTTAGACTGAAGTAGTATAAGCACTGATAGAAAAGAGGACAGAAGATTCTTGGAGGATTACATTCGACGAGCGGATTATTCCCTAAACCAGCCTTTTTTCTTCTGCTGGAGGCTTGATTCCCCTGCGGTCTGAACAGAGTAAAGCCCACTGTTAATGTAGACAGCTCTAGTGAGCAACACAGCTCTCAGGCTGTCACTGCTTGTTGCCTCTAAAGGACTAATTCCTCTTCATAAACTCACCCTGAATTAGGCAGCCTGCAAGACTCCATGGTCTCTTTAGGAAAACACTGCGGTGCACGGCAGACTTTCTTAGCACGGTGAAGTATGTACAGTAAATAAGTACTGATAGATTGTGATGGTGAATAATTTATGTTTTAGAATAAAGAATGAAGTTTGGACACCTGAAAGTTTATAGGCAAACGTTTCAGCACTGACACAAATTATAAGTTTTGCTGCTTTCATTTTCTTATTTTATTTTTTTTGTCTTTATAGAGACTTGCGAAGGTATTCCTGCTCTTTAAACTTTTCCACCTTTTGTTATTTTGCTACCATATCCTTGTTTTTGTTAAAAAATTAACACAAGGTAGTGAGAAAAATGTGAAAACATAGGATATTAACAATCTCTTTTCAAAAGTGTGGCATTTATTTGTTTTTTAACTCCGCCGCTCTCTAAATAACAGTCAAAACAATTTTTATGGGGATTTTCTAGCAGTTCTGCCGTAAAACTTCCCCACCTTCTTCTTAGAGTTAAAGCTCAGCCTGATCAGATGGTGAGCATCTGTGAACATCAACATATAGAGAGCAGGAATTTGCTTGGATCTAAACCAAACCATTGTATCTTCCGCTCTATGTCGAGAATATTTTATCCTGGTTGAAATTAAAATTCAGCAAACATCTCCAAACTTTTTCAGCCTCCACCTGGTTTCTCACATCCATCTTTTACTCACATCTCAGTGGCTTCACTATCACTGCAGAAGAACAGCCCAGCCCCCAGCATGGTATTGCCACCAAACTATAACATACAGTATTTTGTCATGATGTTTGTATGGTAGTTTGCAGTGTAATTTTGCGGCCACATATAACACTTTTCATGCAGGCTCAACTTAAATGTTTGGTCTCATCTGACCAGCATCTTCTTCCACTTGTTAAATGTATGTCCTGCATTGCTTATGGCAAGGATCCTTAATGGTGTTCTTTCAGCAATCGCTTTGTTCTCATGCTTCAATTAAAACCAGGTGTTGGATGTGCATGACTAACAGTTGCTAACTCTGGTGCTCATCAGAGTCAGAATGGGCCTTTGGGCTTTTATAAAATCTATTTGTTAAAAAAAAAAAAAATGATGAAAATGATGAAAAAACAACATCAGCAAAGTATATCTCCGAATTGGCTTTTTGAACATATTTTAAATTGCATTCTGAATTTAAAAAATATCTAGATAGGTAGTTTTGATTTATCCAATTTCTGTTTTATCTAATTCAATTTTTTAACAAGACTGACTTAAGTTCCTCAAAGTAACACTTCAAAGTTTAACAAGATGTTTGTTTCCATTAACTGTTATTTATAAGATGTTTTTTTTTTTCAATATGCCTATACCTAATTAAAACACAATGTTTGTTGTATAAAATGAGATTCTGTTTGAATCTGACCTAAATGATTATTGTGATCCACAATGCTAAGATAAATCAAGTCATGGAATAACGTTTGCCAAAAAGTTTTTTTTGTCCTTTTATAATAACTCTGTGTTTCCTCATCAGCTTCTTCCTGAGCACAGAAGAATCAAGAGAGAGCAGACACCTTTACAGGTACACCATCTCCTCTGAGTTATCACGGTTTATTTTATGGCAAACCAATAAAACAAATGAAGACAAACTATTTTCTTTATACAAGATTTAGCTTTACACCAAATGTACATGACAGACGTCAATCCTCCTCCTTCCTTTAAAATAAGTTAAAACAAAGCCAATGTGTAATGGCTCAGAAAGTAGGTCCCAGAATTCAGGCAAGACAGACAGTGTATTACTTCAAAAGCGTTTATTTAAACACAGACGGATCTGCGGATCTGCAGTGGCTAAGGGGTCTGAGGCAGGAACGTCTGTCGGAGAGAAACACAGGTGCCTCCAGAGCTGACAGGAGATCAGATCCGAGCTGATGAAGGAAGACGGGATAATCCACGGGGCGAAGTCAAGAGGAAGAACCAGGCTGAGTCCTCAGAAAAATTCGACAGGATTCTGAAGACAGGCCAGGCAAACAGAGCAGACTGGGGCAGGCAGGCTCAAAGGTCCAAATACAGAAACAGGTCAGGATCAGACAATCAGAACACTATAGTAATGCTAGAGAACTCTCAACAACCAAAGACTCAAGAATAATCTGGCATTGATGGCTGGGAAACGGGGAGCTTACATAGGAAACCAGAACAGGTGGATCTGATCAGGGACAGGGCAGAGCTAGCCAGGTGAATGAAACAACTAATCAAGCCAACCATCAGTGCCAAAATCATGACACAGGGATTTTTGGTTTTGTTTTGGCTCATTATAAGATGCAGACATAGTAGAGATTTTATATGACAGGGCTTTTTTATTAGGTATTAATCAACTATCTGCTCTGAACAATGTCTTTTAGATTGTAAAAATCATCTTTCCATCACACAAAACAGCTCTTAACTGTTCCCCTAAAAGCTAAATTTAACTTTTTATTTTTGGTTACTCTACCCTAAGTGTGGACCTAAATGGAGTGTTTCAGCGTCGTTGCATCTCATGTGACCTGGTTGATGGATGCAATTTCTTCAAAGTTGTTTTCAGCCCCAACCAAACTCACTTCATTCTTTATTGTTTGGGTAAGTCACACGCATACACTGTCTCAAGGTAATGAACTTGAACTTTTTTCACATTTTGTCCCGTTCTTCTTGCGCTACAGCCACAAAATGTCATTTTGGGGACTTTATTTGAGAGATAAATGCCAAGAACAGGATGATTGTGGAATTTTTACTCTTAAAATTCATTATTACTTTACAATCAGTATTACATGAATTTGTATCCATCCCATTTAACTTTAATGCTGCTGTATAAAATCCATTTCAACCATTCAACTTCAGACATTTCCATTGATAAATAGTTTACTGCAGTTTGATTTGAATCTTATTTTAAATCCAGAAGGCTTTTCTGGTTGGTTAGAAAAGATGAGTAAACAAATAGCATCACAAAGGAGAAGAAACACAGAAGACAGGTTAGAAAGACATATAAAGGAAGGTTAAGTTATAAAACAATATCCAACAGCCAGGAGACTATTGGATTTAGCTGCAGAGATCCACAGCTTAACTGGGAGAATCTGTTGACAGGACAGTTACAGTCATGAATTCTACGATTCTGGCCTTCACTGAAAATTTGCAGAACGAAAGCATCTATTCACTTCATCTCCATGAGGACACGATCCCAGGCATCATGCTGTGTGGAGGCTTTTCTTTAGCAGCAACAGAGATGATGATCAGAGTTGAAAGGAAGATGGATGTGGCTAACTACTTGAAAATCCCAGAAGTAAACATTATATAGACTGAAAAAGACTTTAGACTGAGCTGCTGTTTCACCTTGCAGCAGGAGAACATCTTAAACATACAGATACAGCTACAATAGAGATTTTAAATCAAGACACATTCATGTGCTGGTATGGCTTTAATAGAAGTCCAGACATTAACTCTATTTGAAACAGTTTTGAGTTAATTATCTCTGAGCTTTAGTTGTTTTATAATGAAGTATGGTGAAAGAATTGTTTTTTTAAGATTACTTACAACAGGGTTCGTGGAGGTCAGGTTTCCTGCAACTTTCAGTTATAACTCTTTTTCCACATACCTGAAACAAGTGGCTGAATTACCTCCTCATTATGCAGAGTTCTTCAGAGTCCCGCTAATAACCTGACTATTTGACTCAGGTGTGTCGAACCAGAAAAGATTAGGAACCTGTTTTACCTAGAGCCCTAAATACCTACCCAGTCTTTGGATTTCAGTATAGTTTGAAAAATACAGATCTGCTCTAATTTGCTTCACATTTATCTACAACTACTGTTGTCCTGTTCATTAAAAAAATACTAATAAAAATGTGTTTAAGTATATTATAACATAATACATTGTCAAAATGAGCCATGGGTTTTTATATATATATATATATATAGCAAAATAAATACCTGTGGTGGTTTGGATAGTCTCAATCTCCCTTCTTTAATTTTCTTTCAGGCCCAAGAATCCCTAAAGTGACCGTTCACAGTACTAAGGACCCCTCCAGTGAGTGTCCACTCTAGCAGTCCTATTAGATGTAATACACAACTAACACCCAGGCAGTTTACAGTCCCTGGTAAAAGCCTGCAGAGGGCATGGAACAGTTTGATATATTTGCAAACACTGCCATCTGGCTGTCACTTCCAGCTGGAGCATTATGTGAACAATTCATTCCTTTCCCTTAATGTTTGCTGTCAGTGTTTGTGTTTCACATACAAATGCAAACAGGTGATGTTTCTTGTGGTGCATCCTGTGCAGGTTATGTCATCTTGGAGGATAACAACCCCCTGTCTGAAGCTCTGGAGGACAAGAGGCTCCCTGAGAGTCTGTTTAAGACAGTCCAAGCAGACAACCATGGTACAGAAGACCAGCATGTCTGCATTGTGTAGCATTATATATCCTGTGTACCATTGTAGCACTAGTAAAAAGCAGGTTTGAACATTTAGTGCTTTCCTCCTATAGATCTGCACCTAAAACTAGTTCTGCCTCAGGGCTATGAGGCCAACCTGCTCCCACTCCTCATTATTGTGTAAGTGTTGCTTAACCTACAGCTGAAACAAAAATCAGTTTCTTTGTTTTTGTAACTTACGATTCATGAAGTATTTTAAAGAAAAATAAGAACTGCATTTTTTTACCCACATGCCTATCCTGATTTTCTGGAACACCCTCAGGGATGGCACTCCCGGTAGCCAGACTGTGACTGAGGAGTTTTCCCTTGGCTGGCCTCAGGTCCTCTGTAGCGCACACAACGTGGCCTTAGCCTGGGTGGATGGCCGGAGCGGGGTCGGACGTGGGCAGAAGACTGTAGCCGTAGATCCTCGGAAGCTTGGCTCACTTAGAGTCAAAGACTATCTGGGAGTTGTTGAGTCAGTACATTTTACATCAGTGTGTTGTTTACCATCTTAAGAGTGGACCTAAAAGACTTTTGTCCTTCCAGGTTGTTGATGCAGCTGCCTTACATCGATGACCGAAGGATAGCCCTCTTTGGAAAGGTTACAGCAGTTGATTAGATGTAAAGACCTGACTTTTTAAGGCTGCAGTACTGATTATCTATTTTCATTCTCATCATAGGCCCTTGGAGGTTATCTAACTCTTAAAATGTTGGCTGCAACAGACAAGCTCTTTCAATGCGCTGCAGCTGCTGCACCAATTACCGATTTCAAGCTTTATAGTGAGTGAAGATCCAAGTGCTGAAACATTCTTTCAACAAGAACATGAAAGTTGTATCAATGAAAGAGAGATGGAGTAAACATGTTTGAGTTAAAATGTCCCCCTGTTTCTTAGGTGCAGCATTTTCTGAAAGGTATCTTGGGCTTCCGGCAAAGGAGGATCATGCTTACTTGGTAAGGTTCTTAATCCATATCACCCCTTGAACTTTTAATATATTTTCCTTTTTATTGGAGTTTTATGTTGCATGCCAGCACTGGGAATGTTGTCGCTGACAGAAAAATATAAATTCTACAAATAAAAATTCTGGGATCCATTAAATCCAGTGCAAACATTTACATTCAATAGTTACCTACATAATAAAAGAGAACTTAAACAAGACTTAAAATATGCTATGTGGTCAGCGCATATGAAATCAAAAACACACCATCACAGAAAACAAGATGGTGGTTCCATCTTTATGCTAAGTTATTGTTCTTCTGCAGGAATATGGAATCTGGTCAGAGATGATTGGAATATGCATGGAGCTAAATATACAGTGATTATATTTAAAAGCCTGTCAGATGATGCAAAGGGCTCTAAACTAATTAAGATAGACAAAGTAACACAGAGAGGTTCTGACAAAGTGAAGTCATAGGGTTTACATCCACTGAAGAATCTGCTACAAGAAGCCCTTGAAAATTGCTTGTTAGACACCTTCAGTTTTGCAAAGAGTAAGAGACAAAAGCTCACCTGAATAAATGTGCAGAGCTGGTTAAAAATAATAGCAACTGTAATTGCATTAAATTGTAGTTCTACAAAGTGTTAGCTTAGGTCGACAAAATACACACCTTTTAGAATCCTATTGGTAGGAATTTTTTATTACCACGTTTTTCTCTTCTGCTTGTCAACAATTCACTAATTTGTCTTTGTCAATCATTTAAAATCCTAAAAAAATATATAGTAATCTTTAAAATTGTAGGGTTACAAAAATGCCAGAGTCAGTTTCATAATTAAAATAAATAATTTATACATATATTTAATTCAGTTAATATACCAATTTTTTACAAAACGTCATGACATTTCAATTAGCAGATTGCATCGACTCAGTGACTTTTTAGGATTTGCTCCTCCTGCAGGAGCATTTAGAGACAGTAGATATTTGCATGCATTTAATTGTTAACGCTACAGCAATCACTCACAGGGAGCATGCATGCTCCACGACTGGAGAGGCAAAACTCCTTTTTGAAAGGAAGAAACCTCCAGCAGAATCAGGCGCAGTTTGAGCGGCTTCTGTTGAGGCCGACTGTGATCATGTCACAAAGCATGTCAGAGAGCACATACAGTTAGTTGCAATAAAAGCAGAGCCCATAGCTGTGTCTAGAAGAGAAACAGAGCCAAGCAATGAAAAGCAGATCAAACTGTGTCATCTATATTGGAAGTTGTTGACGGCAACAGCCCAGCTGATGCCTCCCTCCAGGATGCATACAGCCGAACAAAACCAGTTCAGATCTAATTAATATGATGAGAAAAGGTAGAGAGAACTTAAAGTTAGAAGTTGAACTAATGATTAAAGCAAAATCGGAGAATAGAAAAAGAATGATGAAAAGTGGTCCCTAGGTCCTCCTGCTGTCTAAGCCTATAGCAGCATAACTATAGGGATAGCTCAGGATAACCTGAGCCCCTCTACCTATAATATTTGTCAAACAGAAAAGTTTTAAGCCTTGCCTTAAAAGTAGACAGGGTGTCTGCCCCTAGGACTACAGGAGAGGAGCCTGAACAACAATCAGATCTCTTATATAAGATGAAGCTTGGTTATTTACGACTTTATACGTGAGAAAGAGGATTTAAAAATTTATTCTAACAGGAAGCCAATGAAAAAAATCTAAAATAACTGTGGGATTATGAATATTTACATTCAAATTTACTAACCAAACCTTAAAGAATCTAACACAAGCAGACCAGAAATACATCTCAGTTTTATAAATAATACATTTTTTAATGAAGTTAATCTATTTTCACTGTTGGTTAGCGTAACAGTTTAATTGCATTCCCTAAAAATACCCTTTTTCAGTCCAAAAACATTTTGGATCTTATAAGTGTGCCACATTTACTTCAAAAAATATACACAAGATGCATTTGTTGAAATATTTTTCAAGGAAATTTTGGCTCCACTAGCCTACCTACAAAGATTCAAACAGCAAACACAACCTTTTCACAGCAACAACAGACCTCTGCATCAGCTGACTCATGCTGCATAAAAAAGACAGCCGTTATAACAAAACACACTGTAATATTATTTAGCATGTTTGCAACTTAAAAAAAAAAAAAAAAAAAGATTTTTATCAAAGATTTTTATAGATTGAAATTTGCTGTACATTAGCTAGGTTAAACATTCCTATAATTATGCTGTGTTTTCTCAGACTGCCTCCGTCCTTGAAGAAGCCAACAAACTAAAAGAAGAGAACTTTCTTATTCTACATGGAACTGCAGATGGTGAATATTTATTACTAGTTTTCATCAATTCAAGAAATAATCTCATATCTAATTTTTTTTTGTGTCTGTCCACCCAAAGCGAGGGTCCACTTCCAGCACAGTGCTGAGCTCCTGAGCCGCCTGGTGAAGGTGGAGGCCAACTACTCCCTGCAGCTGTACCCAGATGAGGGCCACGTCCTTAGAGAGCCCCGCAGCATCAGACACTTCCAGCGGACTGTGGTGAATTACCTCCAGAACTGCCTGAAACACAGCACCCTTCTAGAAGTTCCAGAGGAAGAAGAAGAGGAAGATGACTGAGTCCAGAAGCCTCTGTCTCTCCTTCTGAAAGGACTCTCGATGAGGACTGTATGCCACAGTTAAGCATTTCATTGGGGCAGGTTACCAGGAATTAGAGCAGAGGAGTAGGGACCAAAAAAATCAGATCACCTCGTGTAACTTCTGGAAAAATTGTTGTACTGTACAACATGTTGCACAAATTTATTTCTGGTGTTTTGTTGTATGTTTGGGGAGCAGTTTGTTTACAATATTCACTTGAGATTATGGGAATGAGATTTCCACTAACTCAAAAAGTTTACAAAGTTTATAAAACATGCATGTCATAATGGCTGCATGATGTTGATTATTGCATTTTGAGCATTTTTCCAGGATTTTTATTTTTGCCTTCAGACCTCAAACCTAAGTCCCGTCCTGCGCCTCTCATTCTTACTTAAAGATTCTTAAATCAAATGGTTATATTACCTCCCCTGCATTTCAAATCTGCGGCTACTAGTTGCAAGACACTAGGTCGTGAGGAGCTGGAGACCCATGGCTTAGAAGTATGCAAAACGGACAACACCATACTGGGAGATATAAAAAATAAGAAGCGATTGCCTTAATGAAAAAAAAAAAAAACATCCTGACACGCTGATTACTATGACGGAGTATTAGGGCCACACATGAAGAGAAAAAATATTTTTGCCATGACGAGATTAAACTCGACATGTCGACTTTAAAGTCGACATGTCGACATTAAAGTCAACATTTCGAGAATAAAGTTGAAAGGTCATGTTGAGTTTAATCTCGACGTGTCGACTTTAAACTCGCCATCTCGAGAATAAAGTTGATATATCGTGGCGACTTTAATCTCGACATTCCAAAGTTTGGAGAAAAGAGCAACCGCGCTCCACAGCTGCAGTCTGCGTTTTAAGAGTGAAGGTAGTCTTTGACGTGCTGCAACTGTATAGGATTCTGTGCATGTATCCTGTGCAGCGGTTGGCTCTGTTGAACTAATTTAAACTTTATTGTCGACACGTCGAGATTAAACTCAACATGACATTTCAACTTTATTCTCGAAATGGCGAGTTTAAAGTCGACACGTCGAGATTAAACTCAACATGACATTTCAACTTTATTATCGGAATGTTGAGTTTAATGTCGACATGTCGACTTTAAAGTCGACATGTCGAGTTTAATCTCGTCATGGCAAAAATATTTTTTCTCTTCATGTGTGGCCCTAATACTCCGTCGTAGATTACTTTGAGAAAGAAGGTAATTGGCCTTACGCAAAAAAATATTTTGGACGTCTATTGAGTGAAAGAAAGCCGTACCAGATTATCTCTTGTGTGTTCATAGCTTGCATGATCTCAGAGTAAAACCAGAGTTAGAGTTGCATCTCTTTGGTTAGGATATCATCAAAAAGAAAATTATTTCAGTAATTCAATTAAAAAATTTGCAGACTTTGGGCCTTAAACCCCTGGACTAACCACAACAAACGATGTGGCTCCCAAAAGTATCACTGATAGATGATACTTGTTGTTTGTACTCACTTTTCTCGATTTTCCCTTCCGTTCAGTTTTCCTTTATACTTATCTTAATATACTAGGACACTGTATGGAGTCCTGGTGTCTTAAATTCTGAAAGGACTTACTGAATATTGGCTAGACAGTTGTTAAGTCAGCACTATTCTCCATAGTACGTACACGGTCGTTACATAAACTCGTATATTAAAAACAGTTTTTAATGCTCTTACATCATAGTTTAAGGTATTATAATTAATTTCCAATCGTTATCTTAATAAACAGAATTAAGCACGTAAAATAAATCTTTTGAAATAAATCTGTAAGATCTCTAATTTTAACCTTTGTGATTGAATTACTAAAATAAATCAGCTTTTCAATTATATTCTAATTTATTGAGGTGCACCTACATTCTAGCATTTTTACGGTGTTTTACCAGATTATACAGTGTTATCTTAAGATTAAATGCTATTCAAAATGTGCCAAATACATTTGACGGATTTTATATTCTGTTTTTCTTTGCATTGTGTGAATAACGATAAGTATGCAACTGAAATGCAACAGAAACTATTTCTACCATGTTCCATTCATATTCGAGTTTATGTTACAGGAACGTTTTAAGTGTCTGTGTAATGTATTTAGATGCATTATTTCTGTTTTGATACAGTGTGGCATTTTAACCATTGATTGTGTAATGCAGAATTAAATTATTTCTTTGGAGAAACTGTTCAGGCATTACGTAAAAGATTACAAAAGCAATTAAACTATAAGGAGAGCATGCTGTTCGGTTGTAAAGAACTTAACTGAATCTGGAGCATCAACTGCTCCATTTTTACTATATATATCAACAAAAACTGGATGGTATTTGCTTAAATAGATCATTTATTATGCCGATAATCTCATAGGACCATTTGATAGAGTGAGTTTTTACAAACAGTACAGTTCAATTCAAAGAAAACTTTGTCATTTCCTAGTCAAGAATTTAGGAATAGACCATACTCAGCACTCCTGTTCCTCCAAGTGCTCCTAAACAGACCATGGTGAGAAGAAAAGAACACTCCGTAACCTAATCTGTCCTCCTCGCTCTCTCTGCTGGGCCGTTTTGTCTGCCGTATTGCACTACATTCACACGTTCTCCACCACTGCCCAAAATGGAGTAATGTTTCTTCCAGTGGTGGGCCTGTTAAATAATTGCACTGGTCATCAGAGATCTGGACCCTAAGGAATTTGATTCAGTTTATGTATTTAGCGTCAATTTGCTGCAGGTCATCTAACGGCTCTTTAAAGAGTCAATGCAAACAAACGATACAGACTGGTTAAAAGCTATCTCTAAAAAAAAAACACAGCTGATTTCATCAAGTCATTGACTTTGCAGCATGTTCCGACTAAAATGAGTATGTAGAAAGTGTAGAAAGTCTCTTGCATATTTTCATGGACTTTTCAGCAATCCCTCACACCTAAAATACATTTAGCAACGGTGGAGAGGAAAACTCCAGCAGAACCAAGCTCCGCTTTTAACTCTTTAATTCCACAGCTTTTAAGTTTATCTGTTACAGGGTTGGTAATGCTGAGGGACTGGTGATCAGATTGCGACCATTTCTACAAGTCTTAAGTTGTCGCATTTTCTTTTTATGTTAAGCACAGGGTTGCTGTATCTTCATCAACCCCCTTACTTTTTTATATTGTAAAACGGACCTTGGTCAAGAGTTTTAGTGGCAAAGAGTGACGATAAACATTTATTTATTTAAAATGGGCTGCCATAACTAACAAGGGACAAGGTCAGAAGCTCCTCAGCTGTACTAAGGAAGACTGGAATGTTCATCTGAATTCCCCAATTCTCTTTTTAGATGAGATCCAAGGTAACATTTCATTTGGAAAAGTTCCAGAATCCAAAGAAATAATGGAGATGCACAGTTAGTGATGATTTAGGAAACTGTGCCATCTGCTCCCGCTGGCTCACTAGTTTTCCCCCCCCCCCATGTTCAAAATCATTGCAGTTCAAAAAAAGTGAGTGCTTTATGCTTTCTTCTGCTGACCAGCTTTAAGAACATTTTAGATTCATTTTCCAGAAGGATATAGTATCTACCCACACTTCAAACTGTAATAATACCTGCCTTAGTGACCAAGGTATGACTGTTCTTGATTGGATAGCAAAATAGCTAACCTTTTATTTCATTGTTTTACTTTAGATCATTTCCAAAACAAATGCCGTATAATGTATAAATATAATGTACTATATAGTTCAAAACAATATGAATAATATAAATTTGAAAGGAGTGTGATGAAGACAAACTGTTTGGCTCCGGTCCCCTACGTATTTCTTTTTTTTTTAATGACCATGATTATCCTCTTGAATATTGTTAATATTAGAGAAAAGAGCCAACAATGTAGATAAGATAAAGGCTGTGATGCCTCATTAACCTCCGCAGATACCATAACTTGGTTATATTCAAAGGTGCACAAACCAAGTAATGAATAAGTCATAATCTCTGTATTAGAAATAATTTTATCAGTTTCAAGCTAAAGACGAATAAAAGGCAAATTTGAGTTTTTGTTGGCTGTATAGTCATTAATGGAAATAAAAGCTAAACATATTTTACTCTCTATGTAAAAAAAAATAATAAACATATTGATCATTTAGACTATTTGGAAACAACTGTATGCTATGTCTCATAATTTAGCATGTAAAATTTTCTGAATGTGAATAAATATTGTATTGGTAATTTCTGTATCTGTGCAGGGAAAGAATAATCGTGGAGATAAATCTACGTTAGGCTAAGTAAGGTCTTTGCTAAACCTGTGGGTTTGACCAGAGAGTGGCAAAATGGACAGACCATGGTTTAAATCTGTCGTCACAATCTCAAGGAAAACCCTGCCCAATCACATTACGCTTAGCTTTCATATGACCAATCACATCTATCTACGTCATTTCGACGATCCATCCTATCTCCCAATCAATGCGGCGGAGAGTCGCAGGCCTTAATCCTTCTTCAACCTTCTAGTTTCTGGAGGGGCACCTTCAACCTGGTCTGCGGTGCACTGGTAGTGGCTCCTTTCTTTAGATAAAAAGAGGTAGAAATAACACTTTGAAATAGAAACAATGTCCTTCCTGACTATCAGCCGGCTAGCACCTAAACTTCTTAATTCAAAGGTAAGACCATACAAACCCCACATTATCTTCGTGCTAACTTTTGGCTAGGCTGCTAACAACGTTAGCAGCGGGCTAGTTTATGTTAGCTAGCACAGCATTATCAAGCACAGTGTGTCCTGGACTTTTGGGAACTGCCGTTTGTGGTTGTTCCTCTAACATTGTAGTGTTAACTGAAGTCGGCGGTTTCCCACTGCTTCATGCTTTGGTTTTATAATGGGAACTTGCGTCTTGTTAGCTAATATTAGCTTGGAGATTTTTCCTCCTGTTTAGCTGGCCTTATAAAGTCTCAAACTGAGCAGGTTTCCTCAGCCTGTGTTTATCAGACCGTCTAAGTTCTGAGCTATTTCATCCACATTTTTTAAACTGTTGATATAAACTGTTTATATTAAAAACATTTTTACTCTACTTTTTATCTTTCTTCCCCGTTGACCTTCACCTTAAAAATGAATACTCAAGCTGTGTGTTTGGTGTACCAGGACAAGGTCTGCATCATAAAGAGAATTGATGAATAATCAAAGAGTGTAGAAAGAGTTTGGCTGGCGTATTTTTTTATCTTTAAAAGTAAATGTGGTTGGAATAGACACAAGTATCTAACTGGTTGAGTTTCATAATTTTATCAAATGAAGCTGGATCTGGAATGTCAGCTGCATTTTTGCCTATCTGTGATTGAAATCCCCTTCCTGCTTTAAACTCTTCAATGACTATAACCCTATGTCCTACTCCACTGACCTTTTAATCTAGACATGACCCCCATATTTAAGTGTGACTTACTACTAAAATATTTACAGTGTCCTTATAGAGGGTCCTCCCTCAGGCATATAAATGGTGACTAAGTAATTTTCCACCTTTCCTCGAGCTTTTGTGCCCATTAGGTGAAGCTGGCCTCTGACACATTTACCTTTTTTGCTTATCACCTGCTATCTCAGCTGATAAAAAATATGAGTTGGCTTTTTTTTT